TCAACAAGCTTCCTCCAGGTTACAAACTTAGTTAACTATGAGAGTTCGAGAAAATAATCCTTAAAACTCCACCAATCTTTTGCTTCTTTAGTCACCAAAAGTAGCACTGTTCAAGAAATTAGGCTGTAAAAGGCAGAAAACGTTGAAACAGCTGGAAGCCAAACATGCCATTATTAGGAGAAAAGAAAAACCATCCTCGGAGACCTCAGGAAAGGAAGGCTGGCTCTAACCGAACCAAAGTGCCAAGCTGAAGGGTTGGTTAGCCAGGGGAAGCCTGGTGGGCCTGTGCGCCAGCACACGTGGCTCCAGACGGGAAACTCAGTGGAGGGCAGGCCGCTTACCAAGTTAAGCTCCTCATTCTGTCTTACTGCTTCAGAATATGAGTCATCAAGTTTTTTCTGCAATTCAGTCAACAGATCTTTCAGCTGCAATGAAGTTTAAAGTTTAAGATTGATCTCCATGATGACCCATACTTGGTAGCTACTGGGAAGCTCTTCTACAAACAACTTAAACGGAAATACTTTAACACTCTGTTGCAACTGAATGTGAACTGGAAAGCAAGGTTGAAGACCTTCTGTCATGAGTACCTCTCTGACTTCTGTCACGTAAGTTGATCGTTCGATCTCTGCCTTCTCCAGCTCCATCTCCAAGTGCTCTCGTTCCCGCCTCAGCTGTCAGCACAAAACAAGGAATCAATACACTGAAATGTCCTGTCCATGGTTTTTCCATAATGGAAAGTTAGGAGTTTAAAACTATTAACTCAAACTACTCAAGATAATAAAAACATAATTAGATCAATAGACATAAAAGTAACATAATGCTAAAAGCAAGTTACAAGTGTAGCCATCAGATAGCATACATTTTCCATATCTTTGTTCTCTCTTCTCAGTCGCTCCAGCTCTTGCTCTGAGGATGTGAAGGAGGACTGCATCTGAAACGTGAGACAGCAGAGAAGAGAACACTGAGGACAGGCATTCAACCTGCAGAGGGGACGGCAAGACACCTCTACCCTCATGGTGGTGGCTGCTCCACTGTGACATGCACGATATACAGATGTTTGGGCCACATTCACCTCTGTCTTAGACCACATTCACCTCTGTCCTAGGCCACAGGCTAGAAATTCACCTTAAGAGATTTTTTTAGTTCTGCTTTTTAAATTTTTACTTATTTTATTCGGGGGAAGGGCAAATACAAGCCCCTGTACATCTGAGGTGAGAGAACAACTTGCAGGAGTCAGTTCCCTCCTTCCATGTGGGGTCCTGAGGATGGATCAGGTTGTCAGGTTTCGGCAGATGCCGTTATCTGCAAGCCTTTCATCAGTCCTGCTCAGAGGTTTCAAAGCTGTATACCATCCTGAACTGTCAATTAAAGCTCTCAAAAGCTCACATGTAACTTCATTCCAATAATGCTCAGAACCTACCCATTTGTATAATCCTCTATTAAAAGTCAGCTAGAATCACTTGATTTCTGGTGACATGAACAGATAATCACTATATTTAATCCCCAAAGGTATTAACACAGAACACAACTAGCAACCTACAGCCTGCATGCACACTGGCACAAAAAATAAAAAA